GGGGGGGGGGGGGGGGGGGGGGGGGGGGGGGGGGGGGTACAAAAGTGCGTCAGACCACAGCATTGGACACCGCGAGGTAAAAAGACAGGTGAGGGATCGTACAAAAAAAAACAAACGGGCCTCGATTCGCCGAGAGGACCAGCCGTCAGCTCCACGCAAAACACGAAGAATTGGCTGAATACGAACAATATGCCGTCTTCTTAAGATGAGAACGCGTCGATAGGGAAAGGGGCGGCGCAGAGTCGTGACGAGAAGGGCACACCCATTTCACCAACACACGCACAGACAAACGAGCACCAGACGGCGTGCCGGAGCGGGGCACGGGTGCTGCTGTCGACGGGAACCAAACGAAGATATTCATGGTACCACGGAAAAGAGGCGAGCTCTCGCCAGGGAGGCAAGGGCCCCCTTTGTGCCCCAAGCGGCATCACGCCAGACGAAAAAGAAGCAATGGCTCCCCTCGTTGTACCAAGAGGCATGCAGCTCACCATGCACATATCTCTGTGCTCGACGAAGATCGTGCCGCTCTTCTCATCGCGCCCGTATACCTGTCAAGAGAGAAACAACGGTAATGCGGTGCAATAACGAAAAAAATGGAACGCTGAATATACAGGCGAAACGGCATAAATTATTTCACCCACCGCAAAAAGGGTCCATAAGACCAAACAAGTACCATATGACAACGGTTGGTTTCACGGGTCAGTTGACACTGCTGCTGCTGCTGCGTTTCCGACGCACACTCAAAAGGATCGTCGAACAAGAGAAAAGCGCTGATGGCCGGACGAATGCGATCATCGCATTTTCCTCGCGCCCTTCGATAGCCTTTCCCCTTCAGAAAAAGCAAACAAGCGTCAAGGTATGCATGACAATAGAGTAAAAAAACACTCACAGGTGACGACACCTCCCGAGAGCTTCGACACTCAAGTGATGAAAGGGGGCTACAGCGGTAAAACCAGAGACGAAGCTGACGTACTGGACGAGAAGGGCTTAAAACCAAGACTGCCATGCCGACACCTAGTCATCCCTTCCCGACGGCCAATAGACCCAAAATGCAGGCTTTGCCATGCCAACTACACGTGGCGAACCATCCCGCCAGACGCGGAGATGACTCAAGACTCGGACCAGGTGTTATCGTGGAAAGGAAGAAAAAAAAAAACGGACGGACGGCAGTGTTGGAGGACTCCCTCCAAAGGGAAATGGCCTGAATCCGGTGGTAGGTCACAGCCACCACTCTCCGGACCCTGCCCTCGCCCAGGCTTCATAACAGCAACATTAAAAAAGAAACACCTAGACTATCTACATTAGGAAAACTATATACAAACACAGAAAGACTACCCATTCGAGATATAACCACAGTCGAACGGGATGTGTTGGAGTCTTTGCAGTGAGTGGAGGCAAACCGGCTGGGTACTGGGCTTATTTAGATTATATACGTGCACGTGCTTTGCTTTGCGACCGCGTGTCGTTTTTTTCTAACACAGCAACTTCATTCACTCACCTTCGCCGGGCAAATCTCAACGAACTCCGCCTTCTGCTCCGGCGTGAGCAGCGCCTCCTTCTCCTCGTTGATCTCTATGACGGGCTCGAACTTGTAGGTGGCCACTGCCACGGGCGACCACTTGGCGTGCTCCTTCGCGATGCCCTTCTTCGCCACCGCCGTCAGCTGCATGCGCTGCCCTGAACGGAGTCAAATCAAGCGCCTGCCGTTTATTTGTACGCATCCCTCTTCGAGTCTGTCCTGAGAGGGGTCAGTCAACCATTTTCCCGATTTGTTGGTATCTGCGTTGAACAAAGTTAATCAAGCATTTTCCCGATGTTACGTGCATGCTTGTCTGCCCTGAAGAGGAGTCAAATCAAGCGTTTTCGGTGTGCTGCATTACGCATCCATGTTCGCGTCTGCCCTGAAAGGGATCAGTCAAGCGTTATCCCGGTTTTGTTTGTGTACGTGTTTGCGTATTTGGACTGGAAGGAATCAACCAAGCATTTTCCCGATTTGACGGGTACGCTTGTCTGCCCTGAAAGCACTAAATCAAGCGCTTTCCGTTTTCATACGTATCCATATGCGTGTCTGCACTGAAACAAGCTAAATCAAGCGTGTTCCCGTTTTTATGTGCATGCGTGTCTGCCCTCAAGAGGAGTCAAATCAAGCGTTTCCATTTAACTTCGCATCCACACGCGCGTCTGCCCTGAAAAGGTCCAGTCAAGCGTTTTCCCGATTTGTTGTACGTGTCTGGATTGAAAGGAACAAATCAAGCCTTTTCCCGTTTTTACGTGTACGCTTGTCTTCCCTGAAAAGAGTCAATCAATTGTTTTCCGTTTCTTATCTTTTGTGTATATGCCGTCTGCCCTGAAACGAGTCCACTAAGCGTTGTACGCGATGGTTGCTTTCTGTTACTATGGCAGTAACGCGCATCTTTCGATTGCGTTCGAGGAGGGGCGGTGGAGGGGGCACCGCACAATACAGTTTAAGGTCGCCGATGACAAACTCCCGGATGTATCCGATGCTACATTAGACCGCCGGTGTATGAAGACACAGCAGTTCACAACAGCAACAAGAGGGCACCACAAAAGATACTTACTTCCCTAGGCCGCAAGGCCCCAGCTGTGTGCGAAGGAGCGGAGTGTTTGTATCTAATGGGATTCCGCGTGTACCCTTTTCTGAGAAAAAGCACATACCACCGCTGAATAACTGCCCATCTGAGATTATCCCCCAATAGGGATGTGTTGAATGAATTCTTCACGGTGAGTGTCAGGAAAACCTTGCTGGGTATTGGCGATGTTCAAGCCTCTTTACTCTTAAAACACTGAGATCAGTGATCCCAGCGAGCACAAAATCACAAACATGTAGGTGTAGCATATTTAGAAACAACTTTTCGCATTCGATTCTGTATGACTCGACACCACGAGATCGTCGATGCCCTTCAGCAGCCTACGAGGGTTTCTACTAAGCAAACATATAGGATGAAGTATGGAATCGGTGGAATTTCGGGGGCTACGATTACAGGGTCCATGTAACCCCTACCTCTCTAAGTTCATTGTAGACAAGCGCATTTTCTTCGCGAGGAGCAGCCAGCGGTCCGTCACCTTTGGCGAGCTTTGCAATGATGATCCCTGCGTCCTGGGAGATGTCACTGTTGGTCTGGTCCGAGGGGGCGAAGTGCACCGCCCGCAATCGAGGGTCCTGCGCGTCAACAACAACAACGATGACGACGACCACAGCCGCAACGAGCGGCGGGGTGGATCTTGTTACAGATAACGGACGTGAACAGAGGCTGGAAGCTTCGTACAAAAGGACTATTAACAAGTTTCTTCGGTGGCGGGGGGGCTACAAGGTCATGCTTACACAAGACGTAAACGTGATGCCTTCGGAGTGGGCTCATGATAGCACAACAGTGTCATCAAGGGGCGATGCAACTTGAAAATAAAAGCAGGCCGCAGTACCAACCCAACCCACATCTGACTGGCAGCTACCGTATGATATTTCCAAGCTCAACAGCTCACGCAGCTCACGTGCTCTTGACTCGGAACAGCCCGACGAACCAGTGTACCAAAAATCATCAGTGAACAGACTCCAACACATCCCGTTCGATTGTGGTTATATCTCGAGTGGGTAGTCTTTCTGTGGATATATTTTTTCCTAATGTAGACATACATGTCTGTATACAGTCTAATAGTACCACAGAAAACCGCCGCCGAGCGCGGCGCACACCAGAATAATTGTTCTTTCGACACCGCATACACAGCAATGCCACACTTACAGAGCCGACGAGGTCCGCCGAGGTGACGTGCACGGGCTGGTCCTGCATGTGCTCCGGCCTCCCCAAGGCCTTCTTGTCCCACGACACGTCCAGCGTGAACACGGCCGAGCACTTGTCGCAGTAGTCTTCGCAGTCGCAATCCTGAACGGTCACGCGGAAAAAACAACGGACAAAACACAAGGCGCAAAGCGATAAATTCATAGTGTACGACAGCACGGAAAAAAAAAAAAAACTGCTACCAGTTTTCACGGTACCATGCTAACATCACCAGCGTTGAGGGACACAAACGGCAGCAGAAGCAGCAGCCGCAGCACCAGCGCGACTTCATATACACGCGTGCAGCACGAAAAAGGGTACTCGAAGCGCGGGCTGTTTTATCTTCGTCCCGTCTATTCTGGCGTCACAAACATGCTCCTCGAAAGTCGCTGCCCGTGTGCAGGAAGGAGAACAATTTAAAAGAAAAGACAAAAAAGAACGAGGGAGAGGATGCTCGAATCTTGCTACAGAGCAGCGACAGAGGCGGTGGGAATGCCAATGATCCCAACGTGCCCCCCCATTCCTCGAATCCACGAACAGCTCACCGCGCCGACGTCAACCAATGCATCCAGTTGCCGTAGGCTGGGTGACATAAGATATCACACCCCTTTGCTGGATTTTCAAAACTCGATTACTCCGCGACGAAGAGGATGCCATAATCAAAGGATAACTTTTCGGAAAGCTCTCGACGAGACGGTTCCAACGCCGCCATCTTTCGTCACCGTAGCTGCTGTTCCCGCCGAGTAATTGAGCTTCGAAAACCGGTCAAGGGGGTGTGATATCTTGCGCAACCTACGGTAGCGAGTGGGGGCATCTTGTAAATGAGCGAACCCGGCAGCCATCGGCGCACATGCAGAATACCAGCCGTGAACGCATCTAGAAGCACAACCTGTGTACGTATCCAACAGGGACTGCTGGTGTACGTGCAAGAAAACAACCGGAACGCTACGAAAGTGCTCAATTTACGCGCTTGGTAGTAGCATCAGGCCTTGCGCAAAGAAAAAACAAGTAAACGCGCGCCAAAAGAAAGGGGGGCCTGCAGATCGCACGAAGCAGGTATGCACAGGTCTCACGTAGTTGTACTCGTACTGCACCCCCGGGTCTGCCGCGAGGGGGATGAGCCCGAGGCGGTGGGATAGGAACTCGTCTTGGAGGACGCTCGAGTTGTCGTGGATAGTCACCAGGTCGATCGCCATCGTCGGCACCTGGACAAGAAAAAGCGTCACGAACAAAGAAAACGAAAAATATATATACGTGCAAACGACACGCGATACGCCGGGAAATGGAATCGGGTGCCGCTGATCATCGGGATCTTGAAGCGGGGTGCAAAAACATGCATACAGCACGATGGACAGCGAAAGTAATATTGCAAACCGATCATAGGAATTCTTCGAAGAAATATTAGAAGCATTGGAGGGTCCGGTGGCCCCCTTCTAAGTTTTTTTCGTAGAAATGAGAAGTCCCGTTGCTCCCTTCCAGAGCCCAGGCGAAAATGTTGCTATGGCGGAGTCCGCCGACTTTGGTGGAAGTCGTGGTGGCTGTTCAGGTGCGTGGCATCTTGACGATGAATGAAGTGCTGATCGAGAACACTCATTGCTGCCCAACCGTGTGCATCGCCCATACTCTAGGCGGTCGGTGCACCTCCATCTTAGGTCGACTGCAAGGATGTAGCGCTGGCACTACCAGTGGCACTAAGACTGCGCCACAACGGAGGTGTCGAAGGAAGGGAATACCGCAGGTTGCATGACGTCAGATATCACACCCCCTCGACCGATTTTCGAAGCTCGACACAAAAGTACGTATCTCGGCAGGGAAAGCGGGGACGGTGTCGAAAATGGCAGCGCTGGAACGGTCTCGTCGAGAGCTCTCCGAGACGTTACTTCAATTTCGGCATCGTCTTCGTCGTGGAGTAATCGAGCTTCGAAAATTGGTCCAGGGGTTGTAAAATCTTGTGCAACCTACGATAGAACGCTTATGAAGAAAACAGCTCAGGAAACACGATCACACCATGGCATGGATTCGAAAGGCTCACTTTGGTACAATCCTCCGTGACATATCAACAAATATTTGCAACAGTAGTCATGCTTCGCCTTGAGGATGCCGGCAACTTCGTTAGTGGCATCCATCACAACCTGTTGGGTAGACATCCGAACCAGCGAAGCCACTACAACAGGTGTCGCTGCATGACATACACATGATCCCCCCCCCCAATTTTGTAATCCTCTCGAGGACAAGTGGTCAACGACCTAACCGCTTAAGGCATGCAAAACATCAGAGTACGTCTCCCTCCCCCCCACTACAATAGTGCTTCCATCAATCATTCGTCTCGGCGGGCTACAATGTCGGCAAAAGTCACCTCGGCGATCATGACTCGTCTCAAGGCATTGGCAACCGAAGTGTCCGTATTGGACAACACGAATTCCACGAAGTCCTCACGAAGGTCCACTATCTCCACCTGGCGGGAAAAGTCCACGGCGCCAAGGCGGCCGACGGTCAGAGGCGCGTTGGGTTGACATGCGAAAACGGCCGCAGACCGGGCCCGCAGTTGTTTAGTTACGAAATACAGGTATTTCGTTGCGAGCCAGAGGCTCAAGGGTTCGAGATAACAATCAAATAGGCTTAAGAAACACAGCTCGGCGGTGGATCCTAGACTGAACTCTGCACGATAGCGGCAGCGATGAAGCAAAAGAAACTGAGCCTCGACCCGATATTGACGTTTCTGATATCTGGGTCTGTTCTGTAGGATACATAGATGGTGGTCCTCGGCCGGTAGCACTAAAACACGGACGACGGTTAGGGAGAGCACGTGCGGTGATAGATACATGGGGGGCGGTATGTTCGGTGTCGGGGGGGGTTGAAGTTGTGCTTCCTCCACGATGCACAGGGTTGTACGTGGAGCCCTCTGCTCATGCGAGATGCGAGGATGTTCCGCTCGTCCGCCCAAAGGCGTGTACACGCCAGCGCTGGCGAGATTCTTGCACTCGTCAGTGCAACAATTTTGGGTTGTGGTTGGAGGTAGACACGAAACCAAAGCCACAGCGGGTTTCCAGCCCCCAGGCAGCACCAAGGCGCTAGGCCTCACTAGGCCTAACCCACCCCTAAACCCCAACCCAAACCCAACACCCCAAGCTAGGTTGTTGTGCCTAGGTCGCTGTACCGAGCTGCTGGAGCGTGTTTTTTCTGTACCAGCACTGGCAAATTTTCGCCGCGGCCTCGTCCGCAGGGGGTTCAGCAGATTGTCAACCTTATAGGTGGGGGTAGTTGAAGAGCAGGGGCAAAAGGGGCCGCAATATATAAACAAACCGTTGTGATATCTTGGAATGCGTTTGAATTCTTCGGAGAACACGTACGTACACGAGCATTCACATTGACCGCACAATGGCTAGGAACGTCGATCTTCGGGACATCCCGGTTGTTAAGGATATGTACGTGCCCACAACAGCGACAAGAGGGCACGTGGATTCAAATACGTTAAGCACACCCCCACACTGGATGAAGGACCAGATCAGGGGGAGGGGTGGCGGGGGGTCTGTTATATACCGTATACATAGATATATATGTAGGTAAATAGTATGGTATAGTATAACCTATACATTTTCTATTTTATAGGATATAGTATGCGTATGGCTATTCGAAACCTTACACCTCTCTTACTATATACAGGTTTAGACCACCGCTGTGTGTTGTGGGTACATTGCATGTAGATGTAGTGTGATGTAGTAAGCCCTACCAGGTAGGAGATTATGTGCATATATGATGCTGCTGCTGCTGTGAACCCTGTCTTCTCTGTAGGGAACAGCAGTCAGGGTGCTTGCTTGCTGTTACCCTTCCTTGCTGTTGCAGGAGGACCACATTAATTGGTTGCTGCTGCTAAAAGGGGCTACAAAGAAAGGTCTAGGATTTGGTGTGGCCATTTTCACCTCTCAACTGTATGGTTTGTAGACTATAATCATAGACTTGAGCCTAGGCTTCAATGTAACCACTCTTAAGTCCTTTACAATAACCGCCTTGACCAACCGGGATGAAGCGCCTGAAAAATGGGGGTGGGGTGGGGGGAGGGGGGGGGTACTTCACGTATTTGAACCCACGTGCCCTCTTGGCAGCGACGGTCGGGGGCTACGTCGCTGTGAAACACACGAAGCATGTTGGGATGTTGGGTGCTGTTGGTAAAAGCTGCTGCTGTTGGCTCTGAAAAGCTTGGTCGTCTTCTGTACGTTCTATACGCAAGACGCCGCCGTGGTAGAAACTACACGTGCACGAAACAGGTCGTTGGATCTTAACCATGAAGTACGACCCATGTCAAGCTGGCAACTTAGTGCTGATGATCGTATGTATAGGAGGCTTGTCAACTTCATCATGAACTTTTTACGTACGGAGTGGACTTGCCCGCTGGGGAATTCAAAACCACGGCACCAACATGGCCACGGCGTCTTCAGTGGCCACGGCACCATACCTTCCTCTCCCTAAACTACGGACGACACGGCCGGGTTGCATAGGATCATAGCAGGGGTGCAGGGGGCTGCTGGGTGAGAGTAGACATCTTTTATGGAGCCAAGCCTGCTGCCCAATACTGCTTTACCAATCTCGGCCTACGGTACTGCCGCGAAGCCAACACAAGGGCATCATTCTCTGCAACTGCTGTCTGCTGCAGCATTGACCACAAAGACGTATGATGAACGGAGAAAAAAAAATTTCCCAGTAATGACAACGTTTCGTAGCATGTGGCAACTTCGACTACTGCTGTACTGATGGAAGTCGTATTGCTGTAGACTCTTGTGTACAACCAGCCGCGGGAACGATGGCACGATGCCGACGTGAGATTTCAAATCATCCTTGACCGCAAAGGTGACGTGCGGTGGACGGGGGGGGGAATGAACTACTTCGAACAATGCACGAGTTACAAAGAAAGGAGTACAACACGCACCTGAGGGGCACGCAGGTTCGGCATGGCTGTACCGCCACCGCTAGATCCAGCAGCAGAGAAAGCGAGCGAGAGGTGATTACACAACAACAGCAGCGCGGCAGCTGAAACGGGAGTTCGACATTTCTATGAGGCGTTTCAATTTATGTTAAAATAAGCAACACGGCGCTGGCGCGAGCTGTCACCGCTGCCGCTGCCGCTGCCGCTGCCTCTGCCGCTGCCACGTGTTGGTTGTGCCTGTGCTGCCATCGTCGAACGCCGAGAGGATGTCAGCAGTGGAAGAGATACGCAGCCGCAAGCTGCAGCCAATCTACAACGCTCTCGAGAGGTGAGGAATACGTGGAAAGAGAGTGCGAGAAAATACAGCTGTGGAGTGTGCGGTGTGGCGTTTGCGGTGGATTTGAGGACCATTCCGTTAGCCTTTCTTGCGACGCGCAGCTTCTTCCTTTGTGGTTGCAAAGCTATTTGGATTGCGCCAGTGTTTCCTGTAAGCATGGCCGCCGCAACGTTTTGCCTTTGGTGGCTGCTGTATCTGCATTGGGGCGGTATGGATCATCTCGCCCCACAAGTCACCCCGTAGGATTGATTGTTGAAGAACACCAGACCGCCCTTATTCTGCTCTGAGTGTGCTGGGAGTCTACATCCGCAGGGACCGAAGACATCCACCCAGCAGGGTGGATTAGCTTCAGCAGGTGTCCTTCGAAGCGTAGCCACATCAATAGTCTAGTGCACGTGCAAAGTAGCAGAGCGCAAATTCTCTCTATTTTAGAGCAACCACCCATCCCTGTGGGTTCAGATAGCGTGAACATGTCGATCCGATTTTGTAGCTATGCATGGCTGCGGTGCAATCGGTGTCAACAGAGCGGGGAGGAAGGCGGAAGTGCAACTTCACGCGGAAGCAGTAGCAGTCGAAGGAACTCAAGGCGCCGCCAAACATGACGCCCGACTGGCACTGAGCATGATGCAACATTCCATTTAGTACAGCAAGAGAAGCTGTAGGGGGAGTAATCTCAGTTTTCAGCGACTGCTTGTGCCCGTGTCATTTGCCGAGAGCACTCGGAACACTATTTTGATATCTTCATGTATCTCGCCAACGTTGCAGACCACTACAGCAGTAGTACACTGATGTTTCGAATTGTGAAGGAAAGGGACGAGTAGACGTGGTGGTCAGCTTGTGACTTGGCGTGAAGGGAGAGTCATGGTGCTCGTTTTTTGTGACCACGGTTGTTTTTTCTTTCAGGTTGGCGTAGAGCTAGAGGCATACAAGTAACGCGGAATAGAAAAGGCGCCCCCCCCCGCCTCGGCGAGAACGGCCGGTCACAGCTGTCCCTCGCTGCAGCACCACCCAGTACACACAACTACGTCACACACCCCGCCGCGGTACAAGAGGGCTCGCGGATTCAAATAGTGGATGCACTGCTATCCTACCCCCGGTTCATTTTTTAGGGCGCTTTATCCAGTTTGGTCAAGCCGCTTACTTGTGTACTCCTTATTTTAGATTTAGCATGGGTTTAGTAGAGTCTTTATTTTCCACATTGTTGGCTTTAGTATCGCATTATAAACACCACATAAGGAGACGTCTATAGGATTATGTGTGCCATTACTAAATCATATACAAAATCGCATCATGTTTGGTTTTGCAAACCCACAAAATCCCATGTATCATACTCCACGGCATACATCGNGACCCCCCCCCCCCTCTCTCCATTTGTCCTGAACCCAGTTTTGGGCGGTGCATCCATGTTCTGAATCCGCGAGCCCTCCTTGCGCGGTAGTGCCCAATCGACGCAACCTCGGCACTGCGGAAATCATCCGCATGTTCTTATGCGTACACCCCATTGTTATTTTTACAGCCCCTGCTGGGGAGAAGAGGGTAGATGACGACTCTTCGCATCCCGCAATTTGGTTGTGCTTTGGAGTGTCTCGCCGTTTTCCCCGGCACCGTTGGTGCCGTCGGTTGTGCCTTAATTCAATGATTTCCTGTCTGCATGCACATGCATGTATTGCCGACAGCAACCCCCCGCCATGCTCCGTCCTCTGGAGGACACGTGGCGAGTGGTCCAACAGCTAAGGCCTAAGGCATGCAAAACCCGAGTACGCCCCCTCCCCCCCCCCACCAACCTCTCCTCCTTCGCACCGCTCCCTGTGTTTTCCGCGTGTGTGTCTTGTCTCCTGCCCCCGCGCATGGGAAACGTGAAATGAAATCATCCGCTGGATCGGATGTGTGTGGAAAATGGCAACCTGGGCCTCCCCTTACAGCGGAAATTGGCGTCAGGCGGTGAGTGACGTGCCCTGCCCCCCGCCCTCCCCCCTCTCCCGCCGGACGTGGACCAGTCCCGCCCTCGAACGTACAGTGAACGAATGAATGCACTTCAGGTCATGAAAGGCTGAATCAGCTCGTGGCCCGGATTTGTGGAGGCCAACGCTTCGGTCAATAACATACCGGCTGGGAAGGGAACGAACGAGTGTTTTCTTGCGGTGGAGGTCGTGAAGGGCTGATTCAGCTGCCAGCCCAGATTGTGCGAAGGCCTTTGCTTTGGTCAAAAACGTAAAGAGTACAGGCTGGGAACACACGTGCACATAACAACGGGCTACAAGGGGGTTGGGGAGGAATCGAACGAATGCACCTTTTTTATAGATCAGGTCGTCAAGGGCTGAGTCAGCTCCTTAACCCTAACCCAAATGTGGGGAGCCATGGTACTTTGGTCGAGAGCATGTTGTTGCATGCCCGCAGCCTCGCGTGCGTCGGCGCCAGTGGTGTTTATGCTTACTATTGTCTACCACAGTAGGTCGACCGGTTCGGGAGACAGGTCATCTTTCCCCAAATAACGCACACGCTTCTAAGATCAAAAGGAGGGAAACCATCGTTGTTTGTGGGAAAGGCTGAGACTGCCGCCATGACGCGTGGGTTGCTGAAAAGTCCCGGACAAATACTTCCGGAAAGCACGCCATGGCATAATCACGGTCGTGGACAGTATCCCCGTGGCTTAAAAAACGAGGTTGTGCCGCATCAGTTCATTGTTGTGGAGTTACCAGGTAGGCCACGAATTGGGGCCCGGGGAGCAGGAATGCCGTGAGCGCGGCTTTGACGTGATTGGACACAATAAAACGAAGGTGCTGAATGTATATATTGTGCCGTTTTTTTCTGGAATAATAACAAATGTTTGTTGCAGGTCCGGCTCTGCGAGAAGAGGGACGTGGAGAGATGGCTGACAACCAAGGCCTTGAAGGCGAACGGGCTGTGGAGGCTGGGGAAATACGACGAGGCGCTTGAGCTCTGTCTCCATGTGCAGGTGCATTTTGTGTGTGTGTTTTTATTGTTGCAGTCGTAGGTCCTCAAAAAGGTGGGTGCCCGCTATTGGGTGGGTGAAATTAATTGGCACAGATTGGAATATTCAAGACGGCTACTACATTGAATAAGGCGGGTGCCCTGTATAGGGTGGATGAATCGGTCTAGCGCATACTGCTGTACCCGCCTTATAGAGGGCCTACGACTACTGTAGCATTGACCGGATGGTCAACGAAAGACGTCAGTCTCAGTGCGGCTGAAAGCTGTATGCTTCTAAAGGCCATGATCTGGGACCCCGTGAGGGTGTGTGTGAGTTGCTTTGATTGGCATGAAACGACCTAACCGGCAGGCCAATGCATTTTAAATTGTCAGCCTTCGATCGGGACGAGAACCGCGAGTACGCTCTCTGGTCAAAGGACGCAGATGCACGGTCTATTAATCGGCATGCGTACTCTCCGTTCTTTCGGGCGGCGTGCGTGGCATTTTTTTTTTGTCTGTGCTTGTCGCTCCACAAGCGTGGGCATGTCATCGGATCTTTATGTGCATGTCATCGGGTCTTTATGTGCGTCTCCTACCTATGTGTGTGGCATGGCATTGAGGATTTCTGCGTGCGTCTTGCTCACGTTTGGTATGGCATCTCGTACTGCTTTGTGCGTGTCTTGCTCAGGCGTGGTATGGCATCGGTTAGCTCCCTGCGTGTCCTGCTCGTGTGCTGCATAGTAGCGCATCGGCGTTCTCGTGCGTGCCTTGCTTGAGAAGCGCATCGGCCACCCACGATTTTGAGTATTTTTCACCCCCTGACGGAAACAAATACGCAGGGAGCGAGCCCTACAGACGAAGACACTCTTGCGGCGATGACGTACAACTACCGGATGATGAACCGCAGGGAGCAGGTGGCCCCTTTGTTCGAGGTGGCCGTCGCCGCGAAACCGCGGGACCCCGCCCTGATCAAGGAGCTCTTCATGTGCTACGTCAAGGTGAGAGACGCGTCCTGGAGGCTTTTTATAGTCTCTTTCTTACGCTCTGGGGTCTCGAGAAGGGCGTTGAGAGTGGGCTTTTCTTCGCGTATGGCATTGTTGGCTTGTTAGCATGTGATGCATACACCTAGGCGCTTCTCTTCGTGTTTTAAAGGGCGCGAGCCAGGTTGAGACAAACCGGCAGACACATAAATACGCACATGTCTTTTTCTCTCTCTCTACTCTCTCTACTCTCTCTCTCTCTCTCTCTTCTCTCTCTCTCTCTCTCTCTCTCTCTCTCTCTCTCTCTCTCTCTCGGAAAGCTCACCGGCGTGTCTTGAGGCCAGCAGCAGATGAGCTTTCCCCCATCTCTTGCTCAACTTCCTTCGTGTGTTGGTCGATTTTGTAACATCCGTTTGGTCGGTTGTTGTTTTTGTAACCGATGTCAGGCGAAGCAGTACCTGAAAGCACAACAGACGGCAACCAAGCTACACAAGGTGGACCCTCAGGGAGGTGAGCGCAGGGGAGGAGACAGTTCCCGTTAGTAACTGTGTTGTTGTTGTTGTTGTTGTTGTTGTTGTTGTTGTTGTTGTTGTTGTTGTTGTTGTTGTTGTTGTTGTTGTTGTTGTTGTTGTTGTTGTTGTTGTTGTTGCTGTTGTTGTTTTTGTTGTTTACGTTGTTTACGTTGATATTGCCGTGTTTGTTTTGTTGTTGTTGGTGGTGGCGATGGTGGCGCTGTTTGTGTTGTTCAACACTGCTATTGCAGTTGTCTTAACGTCGAGAACGGTTGCGGTCTCTTCCCAGTACCAGTCCAACTGACGCGGACGCCTTCCGTGGGTACAGGCTACAACTGAACTACCGAAAGGACGCAAACAAGATAAGGTCAACGAGAAAGGCGAAAAAGGACCCCGATACATCAACACAAAGCGATGATGCGCCGTGTTCCAATTTTTCAGCGACAATCATTGTAGAATACTCACGGCTCACGGGAGCGTGCAGCGCGGGTGATCTCGCGAACTTCATCCACATTCCTGCCGTGTCCTCTTTACACGTTTCTGCGACGTAGCTGGTAAAAACATTTTTTATCGCTCAACATATGTAACATATGCGATTGCGTTGACCCGGTGGAGACATGCGCCCCCTGTGCTCCGCGTGATGACGTAATCTGCTTGTTGATGTAAACTTTTCCGCGCGCGTTTTAGGGAAGTTCATCATCTGGGCAGCGGCGACGATGCTGATCCAGGCCGAGCGGAAGGACAGCTCCGCCGGGGTGATGACGCTTCCCCTAGCCGAGAAGATGACCGTCAAGGTCTTGCAGGAGAATGTGAGGTGGTGGGGATCATCGCCAGACTCTTGTGTCTTTTGGTTGTGTGTGTGCGTGTTTTTATTTGTTAATTGCAGCGGCCGCACTAATCGGCTGACCAATGAAAAGACGTCAGTCTTGTAGCGGGATCAATAACACGAACAATTCCTTGTTCAAAGGGTTATTCCAACAGGGGAGGGCGCAGGAATTGGACGACAGACAGCTAGAGTTCTTGTGAAGCACCAATATCCGTTCTCAGGTTGATGCGTCGTATCGTTCTTCCATGCTAGTGTGTGTGCGTGTTGTTGTGTTTTTTCGTTTGCATCGACCACGCCAACAGGTTGACAAATGAATCATTTGGGTTGTCTTTAACCTGTTAACGTGTCCAAGTCGGGGCTTGACGGCAGCAATTCCCCCCATGCACTCTGCTGTTCGTTTGGTCACACGTCCCATCGACCTCAATCCCCACTATTTTCGTGAACCTTGTATTGTGTATAGTCCTGCCGCATCCACGTTCCGTTCCACGATAATTTGCGCCAGGCGGCGAACGGGTTGCGGCCTGTGGGCGAGGAGCTGCGGCTTTGCCTCGATATTCTCAACCTCCAGGGGAAACACAGGTAACGATAGTCTCTGGACGCGGGGTCACTTTCCGTTGTTGTTGACGCGTGGTATCATCACCTCCTTGTGATGTTCTTGCTATGGCAGTCGCACACCGGATCGTGAACAGTGCTCCAAAAGCGGCACCACAGCACGTAGAAGCGTGTTCCGTTTGCGACCCAGACCGGCATCTTTTCATTGGTCAACCGTTGAGCGCGGTCCATGCTGTAAACGACCAAGAGTCTATGATGCACACGCACGCATATATTGATATGCTTCCCTCGTCTACTTCTGCTGCTATTGCTGTTACTGCTACTGCTGTTACTGCTGCGGCTGTCGCTGCTGTCGCTGCTGTCGCTACTGGTGGCGGTGGTGCCGTCGTTTGTGTTTCTTCGCGGCCCCGCAGGGAAGCCCTCGAGGCCCTGGAGCGGTTTGAGCCCGCCACGGGCGGGGAGGCTTCCGGCGGCGCCACAGTCTCTGCCGCGGACGAGAGTAGGGGCACGATAGAGGACGAGTCCAGCCTGGAGAACGGGACCATTGTCAACATGCAGGTACAGCAGTGGGGATACCATTTTTATCAACATTCAGGTACTGCAGTAGGGGATGCCATCGTCAACATGCAGGTATAGCAGCATGGGATGTCATCGTCAACATGCAGGAATAGCACGTAGGGGATTGCCATTGTCAACGTGCAGCTACAGCGGTAGGGGATACCGGTAGGTCGTCTTGTACACCGTAGTTTGTACGTAAGACAGCACACCCGTGAGACCGATTTTTCAAAGCCACTTTTACTCCACGACGAAGAGGATGCCACGATCAATTGATGGTACGTTTGAGGAGAGCTCTCGACGAGACGGTTAATACGCCGCCGTTTTCGGCGCCGTCACCATTGAGGCTGCAGGGTAACCGAGCTTTGAAAATTGGTCAAGTTGATGCGGTCTCTTGTGCAACCTACGGTAAGACACAACCGCTGGCGTTGTCAAGATAAGAGAGGCAGCTTTGGTCATGACTGGAGCTAACGGCTCACATATCAGCAGACCTCGCTGGAGAACTGACAAGGGTTTATACTCCCTCTCCCTGCGGGACATCTCTTGCCGCTCTCTCACCCGGTTGTGTGCTCTCTATTGCACCGGCAGGAGGCGGAGCGCCTGGAGCTAAAGGCGGAGCTCTACGAGAAGCTGGGGGGAGCCGGCGACCTGGCGCGCGCGGAGGAGGTGGTTCAAGGGCTAATCAGGCGTTCGCCCGACCAGTGGAGCTACTACGTGACCCTCCTCAACCTGTTGGACAAGCGACACGGTAAGTGGCTTAAGAGGGCTCACATGGCCGAGCTAGTGTCTCCTGTTGTGGATGGGAAGGCGCTTGTTTTTTTTTGCTGGGCAGGGTATGAAATAACTGCGGAGCTGATTGTGGTGAGAGGTTTGTTTGTGGTGGCGGAACCCTTCTCGGGTTGGTTGCTATTCCGATCCGGGCGCTGCTGTTGCGTTGCGTGGCTCTTTCTTTGATCTGCTTTGATCTGTTGGACGTACGGCTGGCATTGTTTCTCTCGTTGTTTGCACGCCGCTGCTGCTGCTGCTGTTGTTGTTGTTGTTGTTGTTGTTGTTGTTGTTGTTGTTGTTGTTATTGTTGACGTCGTTAATGGAATATTTGTAATATAGAGTGGTGGCGGCTTTGTGTTGTTTATGGAGTTGTTGACGGAATTCGTTGTTTTTGTTGTGGTTGCGGGAAGACCGAAGGGAGATACAGCCGTCGCCGCAACAAACCAAGACGGAGACAGCATGCCTTCGAACCCAAAGGAATGGAACGTGAACGTGAACGGTTTTGCATACAACCACAGAAAGGCAACCTTTCGAGGTACATTAACATAGCAAGTCGAAGTGTTTTTTTTTTTGTCTTCACTTCACATCAGCGCTCACAGCACCACTGCGGTGCCGTTTACTGCAACCCGTGGTCACACAGAAGAGCCCCTCTCTACCCTCCCCTCGTGCGGAACGTTGCCGTCGATTTTTGATGCGAGAAGACTTCAGCACTCTCCTCCCTCTGTGTACACACGAACTAGCGCTATCCACTAGGCCAGGAGCGGAAGCGAGGGAAAAACTCACTTGGCAAGAAAAGCTCACTCACGGCGGGACTCGAATCCCTAACCTGACATCCAGAAGGTGTTGAGGATACCAACTATAGACCGCCGGGGCGACCGGCTTGGCTTTGATTGTTTTTTTATTGTTTTGTTTTTTTGAAGCTCTACTTGTTCTGTTGTCATTTGTTTCTATTTTTTTTTTACTTTTTGTTTTATTTCGTTCATTTCGTTCATTTATTTTTGTGACTTTGTTGCTTCTTCGTTTTCGTCGTCGTGAAGGTCTCAGCGAGGCGGTCGCTGGTGCGGAGGCGGGGGGAATAACAAGGCCGGAGTGGCCGGCGTCGCTATCGGCAGCCCTTGAGCTCATTCGCAGCCTGCAGCAGGAGTATCCCAAGTGAGACAGTGGACAAGACCCAAACGCTAGAGAGGGGTAGGTTAGCACTTACCGGTGTAGTGATCATGTCGGGGTGGTCCGTGAGAAACGGGCTTCGATACTATCCCCCACACAAGACCAGTTGTCGTGTGCGGTCGAAGGTTGCTCTGAATATTGTGGGGCGTGCGTATGCCAGAAGTTGGTTGCGATCATGGCAGCAGCAGTGTCGCGGCAGAGGTGGAGCAAAACTACCGGTGATCGACTTCTAAAGTCGCGAGGGAAGGGATTGCTGTACCCTTCTCGCGATATAAACATCTCAGGCAGGAACGGCAGGAGGGGGTCCAACCCCCCCCCTCCTGCGTGACCCCGGTTGGGTCGTCTAGCTGGTAGAAGTGGATGATAGGGGCCAGAGGGGCAGACGACAGAGTCAAATGATGGGAGAAAAAGAAACAAAAAACTACCGGTGTGCCTAGTGTCTGGCAGCCGCCTTTCTTGAGCGTATTGCTGCAATCACGGCAAAGGTTGGTTGCCTCCGACGTCGTTCATGACGTTTAAGAAGATCAAACCTCCTAGTACCCAGTCCCTCCCCAAAAACAAAAAACCCATCGCCAATATCGTTGTCAGCCATTGGTCGAGGGGCTACAGTACCTCCAAAGCATCTGAGCTCCTTGCCAGACAAAGGGTGACTTGGGTTCAGTATGAAAAGTGTCCCCAAAACACGTGGGGACACTTTTCATACTGAACCCAAGTCGGCAAGTTTTTTCCAGTACCAGGCGATGTACAGTTTTGCGACCTATGGTACAATGCGGCTTGGGAGATGGGTGTACAGCAAGCCAGACGCCGAGGAGAGGCATCACGCAGCATATCACACTGCGTACCACCCTCAGCCAAGCATGATAGACCAAGGGCGCTTCACACAGCGGAGCCTAGGGTGCCTACGGTGTGGGAAATAGGCATTTGAGTGCTGTGTGCCCAAAGTGTCCCCGTGTGGGCTTCCGGTACTGGGCGGGTTAAATTGTCTCCCAAGGACGTTCATGACAAAATATATGATTGCGTGTCTCCAACATTGCTCATTACAAATATTGTCGAGTGTTTCCAACGTTGTTTCCGCGTCTCTTGTGTCTTTTTCGAAGGTGGAGAGGTCCCTTCCTAGCGGAGATGGAGGTGTTCAGGAGAGCAATTGCCTGGTTCGGCTCCGGGTACACGCCCCCGGCTGCCCAGGTGACTGAATCCTATCTGCTGATCGCCACACACGATATTTTCAAAATGTTATGCTCATACATACCTAACCAAGATGACGCTCTTGGCCCTCACGCGTTGGCCACGGGTTCCAGTGAGGGCGGCGGATGTAGCCTGCGGTCTATGGACTTGGATTCACTGGAATATTCCACGCCCGGAAGCGCCATGTATACATCAGCTTTATTATTTCTCCGAAGCACTAACGCGTTGTTTTTCTGCAGCAGTGCACATCAGCTTTATTCTTCAATCCAAAGCCCTAACGCCGTTTAGTTTGTTTACAGTGTACATTATCTTTTACGGTAGAGTATGTTGTTTCATGACACTCTTTTATTGTGGAAATTTCTACCTGTATCTCTCGTCAGGAGGTGGACGGCACCGCGCCTGCGTCGGAACCACCACCCTCACCACCGCCAACATCGTCAGGGGACGAGATGCAGCAGACGCCGCCGCCGCTAGTGCTGTGGGGGTTACTCTGCCGGTGTATCTCGAGATACATGGCCGTCTTTTCGGCCAAGCTTTGCTGCTTCCAGGACTTGCGGCCCCACCTCACCCTCTTCGCTATAGGTGACCACTGTGTAGGGGGTCCAGGACTCGAATTGAAGACATGAAAAGGGTATGCCCACGAGATGTGCTGTAGGTCACGGCTTTTCAGGACTCGACCTGAAGGCATGTGAAGGGTACACGCACACAAGATGTGCTGCGCTGTCACGAACTGAAGACGTGAAAGAGTAGCGCGCAAGATGTGCTGTAGGTAACGGATTTTTGGGAGCTCGAACTGGAGACGTAAAAAGGGTATTCACACAACGCACCACGTGTTGCGCCGTCAGCACCCGAGATCGGGCACGAGAGGCCTGGAAAAGAACATTTGCCGCACGGATACCGAGAAGTTATTCAGAAAGTGAAGAAAGTGTTCACCCGCATGTTCTTCCTCCTCCGCCTGCTTCTCCGTTCGGAGTCTATCCCTTGCTTATTGCAATATCGCGACAGGGTGGAGGACTCGGTTCGGCGTTGGAGCACCCTAGCGAGAAACTCGTCCTGTGCAGTGGTTTGTGGTCGGCTGGGCCGTTAACGTAGCTTGGATGGCGTTGTACCGCGATATGTGTTTTCCATGCACCGAACGACAGTCCCAAAGGTTTATCCGTATCTCAAGAAGGGGGTCGTTGCTTGCAATACCAGCTGTCGATAACGCCTCTATATCCCATCGTACCCGTATCCGCCGGTGTTCTACATCCGCTGCCCCCCGTCCCGTCTCTTTCTTGTTTTTTCTTAAATTTTTCTTTTTTCGCAGGCATGGGCGAGGGCGAGTCCTCGGGTGGGATAGAGGAGGGCCTAGCGTGGCTTAGAGACTTCTTTAGGAGAGAAGCGGCGGAATCGAGAGCGGAAGAAGGCGCAACCGCCGGCGACGCCGAGCGAGAACAAGCCCCGCTCGATCAAGCGCAACGAGAGATCGGCGTCAAGAGGTGTGTGGTTGCCGTGTGGCATCTGGATTTTGGCATGCGGGGCTGAGGAGGGCCCGTTTAGACCCCACACCTCGTGAAAGATCCGTGCCGTTTAGGTATATAGGACGTGCTACCGTCGAGAGCCGCCTTACTCGTAAGCCAGAGTAGGGTCTTCCTTGCTTTGACGAGCTACTGTTGCGGAGCGTTAAGTCAGGTTGAGTACTCTGCTCTTTTGGTTGGCTTTTGGTTGGCTTTGGCATCGCGCCTGTTGTTGCACCCGAAAGTACTCAGATACACCCAGAGGAACAGGGACAGAGAGACAGAGACAGAGAGGCGTTCCCTCTCAACATTGAACATGTCCAGAACCCTGTTCGTGTTTGATTTTTTGTTGCCGTCTCTTCCCCGTTCCCAGAGCGCTGCTTTGTTTTGCATCTGAGGAAAACCTACTACACAACGTCTCCCTCGTGTGTGCTGCGGTTGTTGACTCTGCGTGTGCACTTTCGAACCATCATCGATCGACAACACTGACGACAGGTTGCACCGCTACATCTGCGCGTGTCAGTCCCGGCACCTTCTTGGAGACCACGCCCCCTCCACGACAATTCTCGTAGACAACGGGAGTTCCAGCGGCGTTGGCGTCGCCGCCTCCGCCTCCGCCTCCGCCTCCGCCGCGGGTCCTGGGGTTAGCGCCGAGGCTCGGTACCGGGGTATTGTGCGGGAACTCACTTCCCAGTACAGGTGAAGTTCGGGAGGGCACTTGTCCCTGCTGCGGCTTTGGTTTGGCATATATTTTCCCTAATTGTACGAGTATGATGGATTTATCTCTGTCGCGCAACAGTTCTGTGCATCCAAATGATTCGGGGTAGAGTCACGCACTGCGCGGGAACTCACCAACTGGCACAGGGCACGGGCAGTCTCCCGCTTGTGAACTATCTTTGCTCACGCGCCTGTTCTTGCCTCTACCCGCCGTTGTCCTTAGGGCCACTCTGCACCTCAACCTCGGTAGCGAGGGAGGCCAGAGGGAGGTGCAGCATGGCGACGAGCTTGTCATCCTTGCCGCACAGACATTGCTTCGCCTGTGCGAGCTCTACGACGATGGCGGGGGGGGAGCATCGGCATCAGGCGAGTCTTTCGTCCCGACTGACTGGGCCTCGTTGTGCACTATTGTTTGTTGTTGTTGTTTCTCACATTAGCTCTAAAAAAAAAAAGATTGGGAGCCCGTGGTCTCAAAACCCGGCATACACGACCCCACGAAGAAACAGAAAAAAATAGGGTACAAAAACCACTCGGAAGAGAAACAAAATGATAGAAAGAAAGACCAGCTACCGCACCAAACGAGAAAGAGCGTCGAGGAGACCGATCAAAATAAAATAAAAGGAGAACGGGGAACGCTTCCCACACCCGCCTACAACGCCGGAGGGTTCCGTGCCGGGTTCCCGCCGACCAGGCATCCCCCGCCCTGCACCACACCCCAGGTGGTGCAGCAAGACGGGGGGCGAAAAACAAACACATATATATTTCCACAAAAAAAATAAAATAAAAAATCGAAGGACAGCGTACACCAGTACCAGGTACTACAGCAGTGCAGTATGCACCAGCGCATTAGTGTAGGGTAGGCACCGCACCAAAGAGGCAGCAGAGGTGGCAGGCAGCCAGCAAAGGAAAAAACAAAAATAACAAGGAGCTCGAGGTATCGTCCAAGATCATCGTAGAGAGGGCATGGAGAACAAGAAAGAAAGAAAGAAGAAAAGCACAAAGAGAGGCCGGAGGCAATACTAAGAGCATACAGCTTACGGCAGGGAAAAGGGAACACAGGGTGCGACAACATCATCAGTTGGGTACGTCGTTCGCCGCAAGCGCGGCCTTGGCCGCCCTACTCGCTTCTACAGCAGTGTCCGGTCGCCGTTTCTTCCCCCCCCCCGCCGCCTCCCCGATTCTCTTTCTCTTCGGGCCCGGGGCGGCCGTGCTCTCCGTCTCTGCTTCCTCCGCGCGCTGGCGCTGGCGCTTCGCGGATGCTTCCGCCTCCTGTCTGTGCCATTTCCTCATGAACCATGCCGCCCCGTCCTCGATCTTGTCGTACCACGCCTCCTGGTCCTTGGCGCTCTCTTTCCATCTCCCCCCCTCCTTCTCCTCTTTCATGCCAAACGCCACGAGGTCCTCTCCTAGGCGATACACCCAGTCGCTCTCCTGCCCGCCCCGGTATCCGGTACCCCCCGCCATCGCTCCCAGCAGCATGCGCTTGGGGAGGCGGTTGTCCTCCATGCGCATAACGAAGCCCGCAAAACACAGCCTCCGTTTGCGCACGGTGGCCTCGATGGTTTCCTCGCAGCCGGCCTGGATGAGGGCCTGGGCGTAGGACAGGGGTCGGTCTGAGCGCTTCCGCTTGCTCCAGCCGATACACCGTGTCAGGAACTGGCGGTGGGTCCCATTCAGCTTGGTGTAGTGCTCCGCTGCCAGGCTCCACGAGGCGCACCCGTATAGGAGGGTCTGCACCACTTCAGCCTGGAGTAGTCGGATCTTGAGCTGGCGGTTGGCCCGTTTCCTGTCGTACATCGAAGTGCTGTTCCGGCGGTAGCACTTCCATGCTCGGCAGATGCGGCTCGTGATCTCCCGGTCGACCTTCCCATCCGCGCAGATGGTACGTCCGAGGTACACAAACCGATCTGTCTGCTTGTACGTCTGGCCAGCGGCGCTGACCGCGAACGGGCGTTCCCCCAGCCCTTTCGGTAGCATGCACATGATCTCCGTCTTTGGCTCCGATACCATCAGTCCGAACAGGCCGGCCACGCGCACGATGATGGACATCATCTTTTCGAGGCTCTCCGGCGTGAGCGAGACGATGGCCGCGTCGTCAGCGTAGAGCATGTCCCACAGGGCCTCTGCGACCGTCACCATCATCGCCTTCTTCCCCGCCGACCTGCCCCTCTTGCCCGTGCACTCCACTCGTGTTGCGATCTTGATCATATCCGCCGTCACCTTGGGGTCCTTGTCGAACTCGGTCACTGCGACCATGCGCATCGCGGCAGAGAACAAGTTGAACAGCAGCGGGGCCAGGTTGCACCCCTGTCGGAGACCTTGGCCGACGTCAAACCATTCCGAGTACTGCCCGTCGTCCGTTCGAACCCGCGCCCTCATGCCCTCGTGGAAGTGGCGAATGACCGCCAGCATCTTCGGAGGCACGCCAAAGCGTCCGAGCACTATGTTTGCTGGTGACGTCTGGAGCTCCTTCTGCGATTTGTAACAATGGTGCTCTGAGTTCTCGAGTTAGCAAGGAGGTTGCCTAGCTTTTCATCAAAAATTACTTGTCGCAAAATCTGATTGTTGCCGGCGTTCATGTGTATTTTTGATGTGACGCGCTCGGGCCCACGAGGAACTGGCAGGCAGTAACAAGGAGCAGGCGCCACTGCTGTTGGTTTTGGCAGCGGCGTTCGTTGAGACAACCCGCCATTTCCTCGTCTTCAAAGCCACATCCTGCCTCCAACCAACACTAGTCATTCCAAATCCAGCCATGTCCACATCATCGGCCTTTCGGGCTGACAATGCTTCCCCCTATCCAAATTCCCGTGATAAGTTGTGCATGTTGTGCTGATGAAGGGTGCGTATCCGCATCAGTGACACTGCTTGTCTTTTGCGGTGGTGGTATCCTCCAAGATCATGGTGATGTTTGGCAATAGTACGCTTTCGTGGTGCAACATATGACGGTTTCATTTGTACTTTTTTTTTCCTTCTGTTTCTGCAGAGGGCGACGCAGACGCCGGCAGGCCCGGTCAGGCGAAGAGTAAGGGTTACCTGGGGAGAGTGGAGGCGGTGTGCTTGCTGGAGGCAGCCATGTCCTGTTCTCCCTACAACCACCACCTCAAGGTTGGCAGCGCTACTGTTCACACTGTTTCACTGGTCTGCTTTTGAGGCAGCCATGTCCTGTTTGTCCTGCAATCGCCGCCTCAAGGTTTGCAGCGCTCTGTTTCACTAGTCAGCTGTGTTGAATCTGTAATGCCGTGGTGTTTGTTCCTTGGAATGACCTTTCCGGCCGGTTTCGATGTACGGCCCCCTGGGGGGAAACTCTTCCGGCAACATCTACAACTGCCTCCTCGTTTGATGGTGCTGTTTATTGCGACGGGCCGCCAATCCCCCCCTTGGTGTTGGTATTTCGTTATATTGAAGCGCTTTCTTGTTTTCGTCGTGGAGGCAACGATCGCTCCGTCCGTCCGGTCGCTTCATTTGTTTTGTTCTTTCACGTTCCGGATATGGTACGCCCATGGCATGCCCACGATATAGGTGTCAGTTACGCTGCGGGTGGTTTCACCGTTGCTGCGTTTCTTTCGGTTTCGCGCCGCGGGCGAGGAGGGAGGCGTGTCCTTCAACAACCAATCGTATCATTGTGCGATAAGCTTGGCCGTGTGATGATATTCTCGCCCTGACGTGCCGTCCAGCGGTGGGCCCGGCGCAGCAGGCTACCGTTAGTAGCCACAGATCCCCGCCCGATAACAACGATGACCACGGCGCGAAACGACGAAGTTTATCGAGGCCATGGTCAAGCAACGGCAATTTTCGTGCTGTAGTTGGGCTAACAGATTAATCTATCATCGTGAGCCGATTCGATGTACTTTTCCGTCTGAACATTTGTTTCACCATTTTTCTCTTTTTCTCCGCCCGTGCAGATCTTGGCGATAGACGTTTACCGACGGCTTGGGTCGTTCGCACGGGCTCTGACGATCTTCGGAGAGCTGGACGTCAAGCAGATACAGGTATGTATGCAGGGCGCGGGACGCCGTGCTGAAATTTGTGTTGTAGGCAGTAAGATTCTCTCGTGTACGATTTGCTGTTTGCCGGTGTGGGAGAAGATGCACTCTCAATCTACACGCCAATCTTGCTATAAGAAGACGAAAACACAAACTGCAGCTGCAATTTTTTTTCTCGCCCTCCCGTGCTGATTCCGATCGTCGTTTTCTTTTCTAGAGCATGGCATCCCGCTAGGAATGGACTCGAATATTCCACTTGTCACGGAATTTCGTCCGCCTTTTGCAGGGCACCCGGCCTATAGTACGCGTGACCCCCCATCCGTTTGTTCGAATCTCTCCTTGGACGGCCTTTTTCGTGCGGCGTACTACACGGACCGCCACCTCCCCTCTTACCCCCCCCGCGCCGCCGAATCGCTCCGTGCCGGCATTGTCGGGATGCGAGGTCAATGACTACGCCATGCGTTTCACATGCGTGCACCCGCCGTTATTTTCGGCTGTCCCCCCCCCCCCCCCCCCCCCCCCCCC